GTGTGTTCCCATGGAAACTTCACTTCAGTGCAAACATCGCAAAGACACTGTATTGGTGTGATGGTGTAGCAAATGTTACCATGTCATCACACTTATGAAATGAAACTGCAGGCATGGGTTGATGATTGCTTTGGACCATTGTGCCTAGGGGCTTGTGTTTTCATTCATAGGGCCCTGTCACTGTCATTACTATTCTTAGTAGTGTGACATCAATAGGCTGAGTATATTTGTGTGTTTTATTGTCTCAGCAGTGGTGTTATGCATTGATGAAGCATAAGTGCACACATAAGAAAAACTTGAAACCTGCAAAATTGTATCGTGATTCTGGACTTACGTCAACGAGTGGCATAAAGACTTTTGACAAGTTGCAAAATGACTTTACGCTGTTAATAGCCAGCTTGTGCGGACACTTGTATTGCACAGAACCGATATCGCTGAATCCCCATAAAGCTCCGGTGGAGGTTTTTATTATTATTATTATTAAGATATATATGTGCATATGAGAATGCACATTAGCATTGTTGTTGTTGTTTTTTTTCATAGGATGCAAAACTGGTAAACCTGCGCCAACTAGAAATTGTGGCGCGATACTGCTCCAAAAGGGTCTTTTTTGTCTAATTTGTGCCATAGCCGGCGACTACCTGAGAGTGCTGAGGCGGCGATTGCAGCTGCCTCAATCGTTGTGCGGGACCGTGTTCAGCGTGCGCCACCTTGCAGAAACGAAAGCAGCTCGCTGTTGCGGAGTTGGGCGTTGTCGGGCTGTCGCTTCGCGAAGCGTACACGCTTTCATGAGGCAACAGCCCAAACGCGCGTCCGTGAGGGCCGCTAGAGCACCACTTGCAGAAAACTCGCTTCGTCACGTTAACGCAAAAGGCTTCTCGCAGCATCTGTGCACAGTGACATCAGTAATAGGTGTTATGTGGTGACAGTCTGAAGCGGAGTGGGCGCAAGCGTCTCGGCACGTTGTGTACGCCAAGTAGACGATCGGCTCCCTGCGACTGTACCGCGTCTCAACAGAAGCTGTGTCAGTTTTCACAAAGTAGAAGATCGTGGTGCACATTTATTGCAGACTGCTGTTTATGCCCGTTCGGTAGTATCCTGGCAGCTGTTTATCCCAGACTCGGTAGTATAGTTTCGAAATGCTCTTTGTCGCCACCGCGTGCCATCGGACGGTCGTACGAGAATGCCAATTATTTTTGAACATAAGCAAACAGAAAGAAATTAGGCAATATTTTCTGTGGCACTGTACTCATTCCTTCTTTAGCGGTCATGGCGCACCAAAAGAATGCAAATTGGTAGTTGGGCATAGGCGTGCGCTTGGAGGGGGGGGGGGGGGGCAAGAGCGGGGGGCCCCTAAGTAAGCCCCATACTTATAGTGAACTAGAATAGCATATTCTAGTTCACTATACTCATGCTTCACATTAGAGGGCGGGGGCGCTGTGATCAACTTTCACCCCCACCCCCACCCCCCCCCCGAAGGGGCACCCTGCGCACGCTTATGTACTTGCATATAGCTGCGTTTAATGTGCAGTTAGCCGCGTTATTAATGAGGTTTTTGTAACGAGCTTTGAATGTGTGTGTGTGTATAATCTGTATGTAATCCTGCTTTTGTTTATGCTTGTGCTTATTTTGTGGGCTTACTTCAGCATATATGATTATCTAAGCTGAGGGAACATTGAAATTAAGCTAAATTTTCTTCATCTGGGTGCGTCATGGGAAGCCCGTGCGTGCGCTCCAAACACGGAGGTAACTGCTCCAAAAGCAGATTATGCCTGCTCCAGTAGCTGCTCCGAAATGCTCGAAGGCACCACCACTGAAAAATGTTAATGAGGCTTATATTATGAAAATATATGGTCCGCTAGCTCCATAAGTCCAGCGCAAAGTTTCAGGGAGTACTTGCCCGAGAGAAGACATTGCAGCAGAAGGCGACAAAAGCTCTGTTGAAAATTCCTACGCGACACGGACTTGAACAAGCGGCTGTAACAGCAATGTCACACACCGCGAAAGACAAGACTGGACTATGACTGAGTGTGTGTGCGCGTGCTGCCGAATGTTCTGTTTATCTCTCTTCCCTCTCTCCTCTCTATCTTTCATTTCCCCCATGCGCAGGGTAGCAAATCGGCTGCCTATAGGCTGGTTAACCTCCCTGCCGTTCTTTTCCTCCTATTTTCCTTCGGGGAGTACTTGTGTTCAAAAACACTGCAGAGCCCACGGAGAAGAAAAGTAGCATGGTGTTAACTTGGTCTTGTTGGAGTTGGGTGGCCGTGGAAGAAAACAGACTGGGACAGAAGACTGTACGATTGTCCCCTTTCTCGCAGGCTTAGCCGATTCTTTGGTTAGAGGAGGTTGTAAAATTGTGTAGACATATACAAGAAGTCTGTAAGGCGGTATGAAAATCTGGGTGGCAAATTTTCTGTTATGGCAAGCTGGTGCCATTGCCACAATCTTTTCATGCATAAGGTGTTCTCTGTCGTGCGGCAGAATGCCATATATAGCTTGATGCCTGAAAATCTCCTCACCCAATTGCCTCTTTTAATTTTGCTGGTTCCTTTAAAAAACAATGCTCACTTGCATAAACTTCACTATTTATTCGTGGTGAATTAAGGATTACGAATTGCAGTACTTTGCTGTGGTTAAGAGGTTATGCACAGAAACTTGACCTAAATGGTGAAGCTGAGCACAGCGCCAGTGTTTTCGTCGTTACCTCACATGAGATTCCATGTATTACTTGCCAAAAATAAAGTTGAGATCGTATTTACATCTTGATTCAATTAAAAGTGCCCGTGCAACACTTTTTGAGCAAGGTCAGAAAATGCTGCCGATCGGTAATAGAAGCTCCCGAGAACACGCGAGCCAAATATTATAGCGCTGCACGCGGACCTTGAATTCAGAAAAGATTATCGAAGTCAGCCAAAAATTATTTCTCTCGACAAATGACTGGAAGACGCTCAAAATTTGCGTGTAGAAAGCCATCCATCAGCCATTGGCTGATTTGAACATGGCGCGCTCGGTCGTGACAAGGATCGCCGCGGGAGACCTCCACTTGTCCGTGCATACGCACGAGATCGCAATAAAAAAGCCGCGCATTAAAAACAAAAAAAAAGTGCTCAAGCTAGGTCATGATAGGCGCGCGTGACGTTTTTTTTTTTATGCCATCCCTCCCTGCTTAGCTTTTCCGAGAAATGGAGCGTGTTCACGGACTCTAAGGCAGCACTACAGTGTTTGATATTCGCCTTACGACGGGGACCTCATTCGCCTTACGACGGGGACCTACGACGGGGCTGGAAATTAGAGAGCTGCTTCACGATCTCTTCGACGAAGGACACAGAATCACGTTTCAGTGGCTTCCAAGTCACTGCGGCATATTGGGCAATGAACATACCGATGCAGTTGTTCGATCAGCACACGAAGATGGTGAAGAAGAATCTATACAATTCTCAAGGACTGATGCTGCAATGAAAATCCGAAAAATCGCTAATGCGGAATTAAAATCCCTATGGAACGCCGAGTGCTTACGGCACACGCGACTGCATAGACTGGACACGTCTCGTCCACTCCGACCTCCGTCTGGACTCTCGACTCCAGACAACGGTGCTTTGGCCACATTGGTTGGTGTCGCCTTCACCAAAGCTTTCGCCTTCCGAACTGGCATGGAAGACAGTGCTGCTTGCGGTCATTGCGGCAGCGATGAAACTATAGAGCACGTTCTCTGTCACTGCCCTCGTTACAGCGTGCAAAGACGGCAACTAGCTGCTGCGTTAGCTCACCTTAACGACAGACCTTTGTCAGAACAATCAGTGCTTGAAAGGCGACATGATTTGTGTGCTCACAAAAAATCAGTGAAGGCCTTACTGTACTTTTTGCGTGGCAGTGGCCTATTGTATAGACTATAGCACCCCAGCCCCCCCCCCCCCCCCCCCTTTTTTTTTTGAGCACGTCTATTTACCTCTTCGCTTTCTTTCCCATCTTTCTTCCCCTTCTCCTAGTGCAGGGTAGCAAACCGGATGCTCCATTTTCTGGTTAACCTCCCTGCCTCTCCCTCATTTTATTCTCTCTCTCTCTCTTCCAGCGCTTTCGTCGGGGCGAGAGAACAAAGAATGCAATTGCAGCAGGCGAAAAATCTTTGTAACTCCACGCGCACTGGACGGATTCTTAAAATATTGGCAGTGCTAAGTTCGTGAGTCTATAGGCTCTTCCAGTGAATTCACTCTATGGTTACTTGAAAAAGTGTTTCAGGGCCCTTTTAAGATAGGGGAAAACGGGGTGGCATACATGCGCACACATACGTACGCACGGAGGAAGGAAATGTCCTTCCTTTCCTTCCTCCGTGTACGTACGTTCGTTTCGAAATTGAGAAGCGGTAGCAAAATAACCTCCTGTCTTTTGTTTGACATAACAACAATAATTCTTGGTTCTATATATTATTACACGTTGCACCAAATGTAAGCCGTTGGCATTACCAGCAAGAGTTTATGCAATATTAATTGGACGTATAGTGGAAGTGCTTACTGCCTCTCACCCTGGTTAAAATGAATCTTGTTACAGTGCCTAAGAGTACCAGTGTACCACTAAGGAAGGGAGCCTTGCGAGGGTGAGTATATGTCTTATCGCGCACGTGCTTCGTCCGCTACATTGTTGTGACGTCATGAGTGGCAAAATTGATAGTGCTTTGCGTCTGTGTTGCCAAAAAAAGTAAAATAGAAAGTGTCATTACCTGAGTTCCTCAGTGCTAGTGCAAGTTTTTGTTCAAGGTGGCTTTGCCACGTGCGGTTTTCCTGATTAAGCGCGTGAGAACTCCACAGAAAGAGCCCATAAAAACAAAGCGCACATTTCATTTGGAGTTCCAGGGTTAGTACATCTGATATAAGCATTAGAGAAATAACTCGGTGGCTGATAACATTCTTCTCCAATGTTATCATGAGCAGTGAGTTTTTTCACGCGAGCCCCATCAGACCAGCTTGGCGCGCTTTTTGCCCTTCACCAAACTCGTCTGGCAACAAGATCAAAACTTGCGCTCATGCGAGTCGCGATTGTTGAGAATTTGTGCCGTGCTGTCTAATCATTGAAACTTTCGCGGACGTGCTGTTTCCGCAAGTTAGCTCGATTGTGGTGCGCACTTTCTCTCAGCGGATAGGCCCGAGGTAAGCCGCCGCATCGGTCGACTAATTTCAGTCGGCGAAAGAATCTTGCCTGGGAAGATCTCGACTTGTGCCGTCATGATGTTTACATTTCGCCTCGCCAATCATTCATTTCCATGCACCATCTACGGGCTGCTTATCGCAAGGAGGCTGCGGTCGATGTGGGTCCACGGCTGACGCTGCCTGCCGATATGGCTCCCAAGTCTCGGAAAATTGCTATTATGGGCTACCGATCCGTCGGTGAGTGCTTTTTTTTTTTAAGCCTAAGCCACTCCGCCTTATCGCAAATCCCCGAGGTTGCCGCGTCGTCTTTGCGTTTGGCACAGATGGTAGCTTTTCCCAAATTTACTCGGTGTGTCACCGTCGCGCGTCGTGCTTGTATGCTCGGACATTTTATCGCCTAGTTGTCTTCGGGGGTGATGAAGCGTTCGCTAGCTGTGTTTTTGTTTACCGAGACGCTTAACTCCCCTTGCTGTATTGCCTGTGGCGCATTCACATCACGCGCTGATAACACCTGTAACTTGTATAGCAGTCTTTTCGCTTTTATGTAGCCACATATTATCCGTTCAATTAGTGCTGTCTCATTTACGCGTGTTATCGAGTTAATATCAGTGGTAGAGTGTTTTAAAAGTTAGCTTCTTATAGCGGGCAGAGAAGTGGCGGGGTGCATGATTTGCCAAGCAGCAGTCCTACTGTCGTAAGGAACCGGGTATTTATTGCGTGCTCATCGGCACAAGCCTTGCAGGGCTGCCTAAAAGCGGCGGGACGCTGATAGCAGACGCCAGATTGCAATGGCGCTAATAGTTTGTGGGAGGGGCGCGCCAGCGTTGCGTGATCACGTGCGTCCTTGGCTCGCGCAGGAAAGTCGTCGCTGACGATACAGTTCGTGGAGAACCAGTTCGTGGACTCCTACGACCCCACGATTGAAAACAGTAGGTTTCCGAAAGCCCGTCGGCGCACTGGAGAGTGTGAGAGCGGCTTGCCTCTTACGGTAAATTTTATCGTTGTCCGCAGCATTTCACAAGACCGTCAAGCTTAAGGGCCAGGAGTACAATCTCAAGCTCGTGGACACAGCTGGGCAGGTATGTATATGCTGCCTATACATCATGCGTTGAATGACGTCATTTCATTGTCGTCTGTGCCATGGCTTAATGTAGTTTATGCTTTCGCCCAAGTACAATTGCTGCTGCGAGGCGGCTTTCTTTTGAGCCGGATTTCTATCCGTAAGAATAACAAGGCTGCCTCTCTAGCGAGAATACCCGAAGGCCTAAAGGTGCTGGTACACAAAATATTTTTCTGTCATTTAATACTTCAGTTTCCAGCAGTAATCATTTCAAAAACATACATATCTGATGGCATCATGGGAAGAGAACTATTCATATAAGGTGTAAATGACATTCCTTGCACTCACAACAATTGTGGACTTGTATGGGAACTATTTGTTGCCTTTTGCATATTTTTATATATAACTTTGTTATGGTTGGGGCAATTCATTTCCTTTTTTTTTTTCATAATTAGTTTTGAAACAGTAGTGAAGGTGCTCGGCTGCTGACCCTAAGGTCGCAGGTTTGATCCCATCTGCGGCCGATGCATTTCGATGGAAGCAAAATGGTACAGGCTCGTCTACTGTGCGATGTCAGTGGACGGTAAAGATATGGTTAGAATTTCCAGAGCCCTTCACTGCAGTGTTTCTTGTAATCAAATAGTGGTTTTCGGACTTGTGTTATTATTGTTGTTGTTATTATTATTATTATCCATAATCAGTTGCAAGACAAGCTTGTAACGTGGGATGCTGTTTTTTGCATTTGTATTAAGCATGGACATTATGAGCATGCCTGCAGCCATGGAAAATACATACTGTAAAATGCCAAGCTAGTGTCTCCTTCCTTTTTCGGGAGATCTGAAATAAGCGCCAAATATGCGCCAATGACCGGTTTGGGACCCAGCAAGTGCTCTCCCCCCAAATCTGGTCGGACTATCCTTCACTGTAGGGGAGTGGGTGTGCTTGCTCGGCACTTTACGGTAAGTATCAGAATTGTAAAACAGAATGACTATCCAAATATTATCTTACGAACTAATAACTATCCTAATAAACACCTTTGAAGTACTGTAATGAAGCAGTAATCAGTTATTGTCTAGTAGTCCAATTTTTCTTGTGGCACTAATTGACAAGTGCCATCAATTGGATATTCAACTAAAGTAATTGTAATGGGTTAAATTTTTTTGTAATGTTTAAATGTCTGAATAATTATAATAAATGCTTAGCCTTGCTTTTGGACAGTGTAATCTGCGATATTTGCTGCTGTTCTGCTAAAAGCTTCTGCAATAGACACATTTAATTTAGTTAAGAAAGAGTGCTTCCAGTCAGTAATTCATTGGTTTTGATTTTTTTTTCTAATTTGCAGGATGAATACTCTATATTTCCTCAGTCATACTCCATGGACATCCATGGCTACGTGTTGGTCTACTCGATCAATTCTGCAAAAAGGTAAGGATTAGTGATTGGTGATTGAAAGCCAACTTGGTGGTCTTGTTCTAATATAGACTTTCTTATTCTTCCCTGATGCAGTTTTGAGGTGGTCAGGGCGCTATACGAGAAGCTCCTGGACATGACTGGGAAAGTCCAGTAAGTGTACATCTTTCAAGTATTGTTAGCCATGGTAGATCAATAGTGAACCAAGAAAAAGTATATTCCATCCAGCAACTTCTACTTGAAGGTGTAGTATTTACGTAATTCAGTGCATGCATAGACATGAAAAGTAAGCTCTTGTGTATAAGTGTGCAATGGCTTTGGAGAGCACTTTTCAAGGGCTCTCCAAAAGGAACAGTAAGTACTAGTGATTCAGTCTAATGAGGAGAAACATATGGCTGAAATTATTATATCTTTTGTAGGGGGTGGAGTGGAGGTGAATAAACACATTGAGTGGATTGACTCGGAATTTATTTGAAAATATGTAGGGACGTTAGAGCCATGCAAAAATGGTGTCTTAGCTATGTTTCTGTGCAAGGCTGCAGATGTGATTAAACTTGAGTCTTGCGTTATCTTTTGGCTATTCAAATCAGTATGTTGCGCTTTTTTTTTTTCGTTTATCTTTGAGCTTGGTGTTGTCTAACACTGCTTATACTTTATCCCATGTTGAACTGTCGGTTAGATTGGTCAAGCTTATTCAGTTGCCATACTGTGCTTTAGAACGATGAAAAGTACAAGCTTTACAATGTTCAGTGTTCAGGAAACATAATGTGTTGGCATGTTAACACCACCTAGTGATTTTTCTCGCATATAACCCACACCAAAAATGAAAAAAAAATCACCTGAAAAGTGGCGGTAAAGGTTATCTGCGAATAATCCGGAAGCAGAGGTCGGCTTCACGGCAATGCATGGCCTCTCGTGCAGTTCGCATCCCCATCAGCATCGTTTAGTGCAAAGCCAATAAAGGCAACACAGGTTATGGACAGATCCTCTATGTAGCGTGTTTATTCACTTTTTGCATGCTTTGTTTGATTTGGTCTACAGCGTCACAACAGTGATTTGACAGCGTCTTTCTCAGAGCCAGGTGTGGACAGTTTGCACCGCTGCTCAGCCTTGTCTGGTGAGGCACCATGAGTGGGTCTCAGCGGCAATCTTTCATCGCGAAAGAAAAATGCAAGATTATCACTGCTGCGGAAGAAATTGGCAACAGAGCTGCTGCGAAGAGGCACTGTCGCCGAGTCCTGCATTTGTGGCTGAAGAAAAAAAAAGGCCTGTCCCGATAATGCACGCAAGGAGAAGTGAGCATTTCGCAGCCCGAAGACTGGAGCGTACCCCCGTCTGGACACGCAGCCTGTCGAATTTATTGAGAAGCGGAGGAGTTGCGGCCACACTGTGTCAACGGAGATAGCGCAAATGGAAGCGCTGAGGTTGGCCCGCGAGATGAACATCTCATGCGATTTTCGTGCAAGCCATGGATGGCTCCAGCGATTCATGGCCAGGCACGGATTTTCAATGCGGCGGCGAATGACTGTGTGCCAGCGGCTTCTCAATGCCTACGAGGATAAGCTGTTGAGCTATCAACGTTACGTCACAGGGCTGCAGAAGGAGCACAACTACTTGCTCTCCCAGGTGGGAAATGGTGATCAAACGCCCATGTACTTCGAGATGCCCATGGACACCACTCTGCAGAAAAAGGGCTCGAAATCTATAATCGTACTGAGGGCGGAAACACCAAACTACGCTGCACAGTAATGTTGTGCACTTTAATGGACGGTACCAAACTGCGTCCATACGTAATCTTCAAGTGCAAAACGCTACCCAGCACTCCACTGCCACCAGAGATTGTTGTGTGAACCGAAGATAACGTGTGGATGAATGGTAACCTTCTCTGTGACTGGCTTCGCACGATCTGGGAGAAGAGGCTAGGCGGCTAGGCCATATTGAGATGGCGGTCAATGCTGGTGCTGGACTCGTTTCGAGGCCACTGCACTGACACAGTGAAAGCGCGCCTCGCTGACCACCACACCGACCTCGTGATCATACCCCATGGCATTACTTCCATGCTACAGCCACTGGACGTGTGCCTCAGTAAGCCGTTCAAGGCGCATGTGAAGCGGCTGTATGCCGAGTGGAAGGCCGACGGCCGTTACGCCCTGACACTGACTGGGCAAAATGATATTGCTTTAGTGCAGCTCAGTTTGAGCGTGAAGGAAAGATACTATGCAGTCAAGAAGGGGAAAGACAGACGACAGTGTGAGCGCTAACTTCCAGTTTTTGTTGATTGCGTACCCTTGCAGCACATTAATAGCTCATTCCACGTGACGCCACACACATGACAAAACCGTACACATGCGGCACAGCACACTATCAAGGAAACGTAGTTGTGATCTGATTTAAAGGGGCACTGACACAAAATTTCGTGGTCGAGGTAGCCTGTGGGGTTGATTGCCAAGAACATTCGTATATAATCTGCAAAGTATCAATAGCGAATACAGCTGGGAAAGCATTTTAAAAGTTTGCGTGAGCCCCCGACTCCATTGCGCCATTGACACGATCGAAGGGGACCCTGAGGTGACCCCCTATTTCCCCACATGTCACCGTGCTGAAGTCAACAAAACAAGTTATGATGACGCCATGGCCGCCATTTTTTCGCCACGTTTGTTCCCGCAGTCTATACTTTTTGGCGGCTGGTTGCGAGTGCGTGGCCGTGGCACATGCTTAAAAAGATTTGTGTTTGGCGACACTGGAGTACCATTTCCTATTCGAAAGTAATTCATGATGCTGACCGTGCAGAAGTGTGTCATAGTTCTGTGAGGTGACATGGTCAAAATCTGCAGATGCCTGGTGGCGACAGTTGGACCCAGCTTTTGAAGCTCTCTTTAACCGAAACTAAAACTGATAGGTAGTAAGAGGCCTGTAGTTAATTATCTGTTGCGTGCTGCAGCAAACGATGTGTCGTGTCATGACTAACAGGCCCCCAGCAACACATTGCAACAAAAAAAGGGGAGGCCCATGTTTTTGTGTCAGTACCCCTTTAAAATTAACAATTCTATGTCAATGCTTCATAGCACGCGCTCCAGAAAATTGAGCTCTTTTTGAGATAAAGCCACAGACGGCGTACTCACACACAGCTTCGCACATTTTGCAATAGCGTTCGCCTCAATAATTTCCGATGTCAACTGGTTACGACTGCGGCCTAAGATGACTTACTGATCAAAGAATGGAGCGCATCCACACGTCTTACAATGCATAGTCGGGAAACCACCACAAGAAATCTTGATTTTTACATTGCAAGAGTGCTCGCGCAAGCGCTCATTAACACACCTACCAGTCTGCCCAATGTAAATCGCGCCGCACGACAGCAGGAACATGTGCACAACAGCTAGGGCGCATTCAACAAACTTAGTTACATGCTTCTTTCCACAGGTGGGTTGCACCTTCTTCCTGGTGTTCGTAAGCTTACATAGATGGCTTAGTTTGCCTGGAGCAGAGAACACCACGCGGACATTTCCTCTCAGGACTATCTTTTTCAAATGATGTGAAATTTGATGTACGTACGGAATCGCACTGATTTTCCCAGCATCGTGCTCACCATTCGTCTGCGGCCGTCCCTGCATACGTGGACCATTCAACAGGCACTCAGCTACCGACACCTGCATTAACACGGAGTAGCCTGCCAAAGATAATCGCTTGCTTTGTCTTGCAAAACTAGGGGCTGCATAGTATCTTTCCTTCGTGCTCAAACTGAGCTGCGCTAAAGCAATGTCATTTTATCATGCACCAACTCGCCCAGTCAGCAGTACTGACTGAGCACGTGCGGAGGCCATACATTGCGCTACTGTGCCAGTGGATCGTGGATGCGTGGGGGGCGATTCTGGATGACATTGTGCGCAAGGGCTTCAAAAAGTGCGTCATCAGCAATTGCTTGTATGGCACCGAAGACTATTGCGTCTTCGAGAGCGGCAACGAAGCCTCGGATGGCAGCGGTGACAGCGGCGAGTCGAGCGATGATTGAAGAAAAGGGAATCGGCGCCGTCAACGTTGTGGCGATCGCTTCGAAATAAAGTTTTTTTTGTAGTCGATTGTGATGTGCTGTGCAGATGTTACTTTCGAAAAAAGTCTTTTTTTTTTTTTTTCGGGTAGTTCAAAGTTAGGGGTGCAGGTTATATGCGAGAAAATACGGTAGGTGCCAAAGTTGCAGTCTGGAGCATACAAAAACAAAGCCAGAAAGTTACCCAATTCACTGCCCTGTAGCACCATTGTAAGCTGCAGTGTATAGTAAAGTGATGTGCATGTCCCGTTACACAAGACAGAGTAGTCATGCCTTATTCCATACCTGCCAACTCTCCCGAATTGTCCGGGAGACTCCCGAATTTTGACCTAATTTCCCGATTGTACGAATCCTATCTCGAATCTCCTGAAAAGGGTCGGGCAGCCAAGGCGGTTTTTTTTTAATTAATCACCCGCGCACGTCAGTTTTTCCCGACTGTTGCAGTGCTGTGGAAGAACACTCGCCACTGCACTTTATTATGACCATACCGTAGAGTTCCGGTACATAAGTACCGCATATTTGGGCAAAAGCAAGTATCCAGCTGCGAGACGCACTCTCCACCGTACCAAACGAAGGCGAGGGAAAAGGTACCAATACTTTTGCGTCTGTCTCATGGCTCCTGCATTTTGTACTCTAGGCCTACGCTGCGTGCCTAGACGTTGGTTCACGGGATTTATTGCGAAGCGTCGCTCACCGTAGTGACCCAGTACCGTTGTTTCAAAAAATGTTCCCGAAGTTCGAGGATGCGAAGCAGTATGGGTGCGTACTTACGAAAGTAGGCGCCATCGTTGGGAAAACTGCTGCAGATACCTAAAACCCAGTGGTGGAGGCTGTGAAACGCCGTGCTTTCGCAGTTGCATGGGCAGAAGTAACGAAGGCAGGTCGCACATACATGTCTGCTTCAGTAATTCTCAATATTCCCCCCCCCCCCCCCCTGCTGAGGTCTCCCGAATTTTCATGCTGCTAGGTTGGCAGGTGGTATGTTATTCATAATATTTCAAATAGGAAATTTTATGGTTTCACATGAATGTAGCAGCTAGCATAAGTTTTGCTGTTGTTTCTGTGTCACTCATTTTAGTTATAAACTGGGTTGTGCCTTTTGTTTTGAGGTGGTCCACCTCAAAAGGCGGACCACTTAGGTTCACCTACACTTTACAGTGGTAATAACAAAATGTGTACAATTTCAGTGTTCCCATTGTTCTTGTTGGCAACAAAGTAGACCTAAGGGTTGAAAGGTAAGCCAAAAATTTTTCCTTCTCTTTAAAACTATTTATCTGAAAGACTTCACACGCATAGCAGTCATATCACTAACCACTTGTAGACACAAATTCTCGCTAGTGTGTTTGTTGGTGAATGTCTTAGTCTTACTTCCCCCAGACTTGCAAAACTTGACATTTAAAATACCTGCACTTACCGCGCTTGCAGCCACTTCGAATGCACAGAATTGTGCCATACGAGTTCACTGGTTGAGTGGAATGCATTTCGTGTGGACTTCTGTTAACCGACTGTTCTAGATAGCCTGCATGAATATGTAGGCAAGTCGGCCTGCTATAGCTGCAACTACCAAGGTGGCGGCTGGGTTCATTATGCGAGTGGGTTCATTATGCGAGCGAATACAGTATATGATCAGCCCTTTTCCAGCCACACTTTCGCCCTTAAAGCAAGAAGACTGAGGTGCTGCCTGTTGGACAATGATTTTCGACTACGGCGAGTGTGTGTTGTACTCGGTGGTTGGGAAAGGGTGATTTGCATTGTGCTAGGGGCATGCGGATCTTTGAAATGGGATTTTCTCCCAATTATGACCTTTCCTGGGCACGAAACAAGCATTGTGAGATTTTTGGAATAGTACTTCAGTATTCACATTGACTTAATATATGCCTTCAGTGTCTGTTGTTCATGCAGCAGACAACACCAACATTACCTAATTTGCTGGCCTCCCATTTTCGTATGTTACAGGGTTGTTAGCTATGAAGAGGGGAGGCAAGCTGCAGAATACATGAAAGCAGCATTCATGGAAGCTTCTGCAAAGCAGAATCAGGTGAGTGTGTGCACTTTTTACTCACTTACTATGCATGATCTCAAAAAAGCACCATAGTAGCTAGTGCAATAATTCTGCGTAAAGATTGTCGACTAAAGTTTTCAATAGCTAAACCATTCATCGTTCATAAATTTAGAAATTGATCGATTAGTGGCTTTTGATGTACTGTTTTAAATGATTAATCACCATTATTGGTACGTTCTTTAAAAAGGATATCTTGTTTGAGAGGCATTGTTAGTGTCGGAGCTTGTCCCAAGTCTTTCTATGAGATGCGCTATAGATCGCACATGTGTGCACTTGCAATGCGTGAGAATTCGCCCTTCTGTCCACTGAACAGAAGGTGCTTGTTGTCGTTGGATGACATCACGAATCCAAAATGATGAGGCCATCATTCATAGACTATTCGCATTTCCTCGAAGCCAGTCTGCTTGAGCGCACCAAAATAGGAGGTGCTTTCGGTGACCACACTGGTTAAAAAGTCGCACCAGAAGCATGCAACCAAGGGTGAGAAAATTACAAGAAAGGTGAAAGAAAAACGAGAAGGAAGAAAAAGTGAACAACTCTCACACTCGTAGAAACTGCGTCTTTTCGCCATTCATTCGTTAGATATTGTGGAAGTTCTCGGCAATACTTTATATCATTGTGGACTAGCGTGACCTCTTTCTTGAGGTTGCTCATGCAAGATTGTACAGCAACATACTGAACAGAGCATAGGTACGGGCTTTTGTGGGAAATTGTGTGGGTAATAGTTTTAGCCTCCAGGCTAGAGTAAATGGCAGTTGGGCCAGTGCAATCCGCAGGTATCATCTCGTCATTGCCTTAACTCTGCACTACTCACACATCTTCAATTGTGCAAACAGCCACAAATGTATAACAATGAGAATTGCTGTTGAACCCTTGATTGCAACGAGAAACAGTCTGTATTGATGCACAAAGCATCAGAGTTGTTCATGTTGGCAAGTGAGAAGACTTGGTTTGACATCAAATGAATGTTAATGTATTAACATCATTGCTGTAGCTTCGTCAGAATTTGAAAAGGCAAACTCATTGCTGACAGCCACAATTTCTTCTATGTATGCTATTCTTGTGTCCTGCTGAGGTGTCTGTATTCTTAGCTGAAGTGTTATCATCACGCTTCATTTTCCTACATGCAACCGAGCAATGCCTCTGGCGATGGAAATGTCACAGCCGAGTCCAGCAGCAAACGCTGATCGTTGTCAATAATGGCTTCAATGTTTTCAGATTTTTCGGTGTCTACAGAAATTATGATGCTGTAGTGGGACAGAATAGTAATCTGATTCTCGAATGTAGTGAGGGTACAGTGGTATGGGTTCGTTTCTGGCGATATTGCTATGCTGGCGATATTGCTATGTCCGATGATAGTCATCAACTTGGTAACAAAGTGAATGATGACACTGTGATAGCGTCCCAGTTCGGCAACGCTGATCAGACTCTCCTTTGCTTTGATATGCGGCAGGAACACGACAGTGGAGGAGAAAGGTGCACGGAGCGTCGTCGTCAGAACGTCTGGCGCTGATAAACAACGATGCAGCGTAATGCTAGCGATGGCAGCATATGAGCCCGTTATTTTTAAATGTAAGACACTTCCCAAAGGCAAATTCCTCTCAAGGCATCTACGTCAAAGTCCAGAAAAAAGGCTGGATGAGTGCGGAACTCATGGTGGATTGGGTGAAAACAGTCTGGGGTCAGCGCCTGGGTGGTCTGTTGTTACCACCCATGCTTGTCCTGGACGGTTTTCCTGGGCACCTAGTAGACCGCGTACGAGATTCGCTAAACAAGCTGCGCACAGATCTGGCAGTGATTCCGGGCGGCCTCACATCGATACTGCAGCCTTTGGACGTGTCCTTTAATAACCCTTTCAAGGACAATGTTCGAAGGCTGTACACTACCTGGTTGGCTGAAGGACATGAGTTGACTCCAGGTGGTAAGATTAAGAGGCCGCCTGTGGAAATGCTGTGGGCTTCAATCATGGAAGCATAGCAGGCGACCTGCAACGAAGTCGTCAGGAAAAGCTTCAAGAAGACTGGTATCTTGAACGCACTGGATGCGAGTGATGATGACTGTTATGGGGTGCGGATGATTCGGACACCGATAACGAATGCCCGCTCGGCGAGGATGAATGTGTGCTAGCCGACTCGGACTCTGAATAGGGAAAAGGAGGAACACCTACGACTTTTGAGTAAATAAATTTTACGTGTGTGTGTGCAGTTGACTGTTCTCGCTTGTTCAATAAAAGGTACGTAGGTATGTTTGTTTTATGCTGAATTAATTGGTAAACGATAGTTGCCTTTTACTTGACAAATGTGCAAATCTAAAGCACGAGCAGCAGAGTCAAAAAAAGTTTCGAGAATATACACCGTGTAATTGGCGCACCCCTATCGAGCCGGATTTTCTGGAAAAAAAAAAAAAGCGCGCCTATTATGCGAGTAAGTACGGTATATGCGTCCTCAGAAGGTTCGAATACAAAAAATACCAGTGCTGCGAATTGAATGGCAACCACTATTACAAAAATATTTGAAATTTGCAATATTCACACACTCCAAATATTTACTAATGCCGTTCCGGTGCTTCAGTGCTACTGTGGCATTGTGTTTGAGGTAGAGTACATTTTTGTAATAGAGTGGCAAAGTTACACTGGACAACATGACAGAAAGAAGTGGGGAGCCATTGCAAAGTTATAAAGTAATGCCTTAAAACAAAGAAATCCAGTACTTCTCTGGGTTGCCCTATGACAGAGCACTTTTAATAGCACTGTGCCTATCAGTTGTCATTGCTCCTACCTCTTTAGAAACCACGTCTAGAGGATTGAACAATAACGGCAGGATAAATACATCGGCACTAGTGCTCATTATGAGTGGTTGTTTTTGATTGAAGGAATAGGGTGTTGCTGCTCCACACACATGACAAGCAAGAACTACATGTGTTAGCCATTAGCAAGGAGACAAAGAAATGGATACCTGGCTAGGCATTATGCAGACATGCATAAGTAGTACAAAGATATGAAATAGTGTAAACATATTGCCATTATCAGCATATAAGATGGTATAATGCTGGTATATTTCTGTACTAGTGACATCATTATATATGGTTGAGTGCTTGCAACGTGCCCAACATACCGGCTGTAGAGCCATCGTAGCATTGATGCAAATTGTTTGTCCGCCATGGTGAGTGTAGCTGTTGCAGTGCTCGGCTGCTGACCAGAAGGTTGCAGGCTGGGTCTCGATTGCAGCAATAGCATTTCGATGGAGGTGAAATGCTAATGTACGGTGCAATGTCAGCACGCGTTAAAGAACACAAGGTGGTGAAATTAGCAGAGTCCTCCCAATACTGCGTGCCTCATAATGATATCATGGTTTTGGCACTTAAAACCACAGATGTTGTTAGTATTGTGCGAAATTTTATTCTCTGATAAAGTGTTTTTATTTCTGGGAATTTCATTTGCAGAGTGTGTTTGAGATCTTCAGCACCATGATACAACAGATTGACAGGGCTGACGGAAACGTGCCCGAGAAGCAATCCTGTGTCGTCTCCTAATCTCTGTGGAGCTTTCATCTTCCTGGCACCCATCAGAGACTGCTGGAAAGTGTTTGGGGCAGAATAAAGAGGCCCGCTGCTCTTGCTCTTGCTGTGGGATAGCCATGTGCTGTGCCTGTGTGAAAGGGTGTGCTGCTTCTGCTGCCAAGAATGTTTTTTCTGTTGTCCTGGTTGTAGAAAAAGAAAGGGGCGGCTATGTTGTATTTCTAAGTAACACGTACAACTGCTTGCAGTGCTTGATCTACACTAGCTTCCTGTTTCTCTCATTTGCCAACCTTTCAACACTCTTGGCAGGGGTTTGTAGGATTGTAGGTCTGTGCTTTTTCCAGGAATGCTGAAGCTTCTAAGTTTTTTTAGTGGGGCATCAAAGTGCTGTAGTAGGAAAGCATGTCGGTTGATGTCTTATGTTATACGCACAAAATATGTTGTAGGGGTTCTCATTGTACAATACGCAATGCTGTCATGACGTGTCCTGTCCTCTGCTTTTTTTTTCTTTTCTATGGCAAGTTTATTTGGAATGTCCTTGGTGAAGCTTTGTTTGTTTGTCACATGAGCTGCCTTTGTAAGAGGCAGTGTTTTAAAGCCAACAGCTGCATCGAAACAAGTTCCCGCTTTCGTTCCCACAATATATTTTTTTTGCGGGAAAAATGTAAAAATTGTACTTACTCCATTCTCCTGTCCTTTGAATTTGTAATCACGAAACAGCATGACCGTTAGCTTTTACTATCATTACTATAAGGAGGCTCAGCCAGGCTAGCGATGGCTGAGATGTGTAAACGACGTAAAAAGAAGAGACAGTTGTACTGCTGAATCTGCAGATCGCAATAAAACTGTGATACAGAGAAAGAAAAAGTGTGTGGACTGAATGTATTGCATGCGGGAGAATACAAGGCTATTATGCCACTACTGCTTCTACAGCTCTGTGATCCATCCCTTACAGATGTTAAACTATTGGTAAATGGACTATGGATAGCATCAATAGTTTATTGCTAGCGATATTGTGAACTATTCGTAGCTCCAAAATCGATATACTATCGACAGCACTACTGGAAGTACAATCGATAGTAACGTTGGCTTACATTACTGCAGGTAGTACTATTGATAGTGCTGTAAATAATTATGCCAATGTTGGCCAATAGTATTGCCAAAACAATCTCTATAGCCTACTATCAGCCATACTCCCAAGGTGCATACAGGTCTTGGAAATCCTTGAAAACCCTTGAATTAGAAAAATGCATTTTCAAGGCTTTTGAAAGTCCTGAAATTTTTTTCTGTCCTTGAAAATTCTCTAATTTCCTGAGCAGTGCACTGTCGTATCAACATTGCGGCCTCCTAAACATGGTGGATCGGCATGTCAACCTGTCAACTCCATTCGAAGAGCAGTAATGTGGTGCGGGCACAAGTGGTTCCGTTTTGCAGAACTGCACGTAAAAAAAAAGCCAGTTTTGTGGCGAGAGCGTAGCTGTGAAAGTGAAAGCAACAATGTTACACAAACAACAGCAAGCAACTAGGTACATGCAATGCTCTGTCAAGCACGGAGAGCGCATGAAAATAACACGCACAGGAGCTCCGCCGCGGTGGTCTAGTGGCTAAGGTACTCTGCTGCTGACCTGCAGGTCGCAAGATCAAATCCCGGCTGCGGCGGCTGCATTTCCGATGGAGGCGGAAATGTTGTAGGCCCGTGTGCTCAGATTTGGGTGCACGTTAAAGAACCCCAGGTGGTCGAAATTTCCGGAGCCCTCCACTACGGCGTCTCTCATAATCATATGATGGTTGTGGGACGTTAAACATCCATATAAAGCAATAACACGCACAGGATGAATGTTAACGAATAACCGTCGCTGCTCGACACTTGCAGTGTGCTGCTTAATTAAACGCGATGAAGGATGCTCGAAAAGAATGCACAGGATAAGTGTGAAGAAACAACTTTCCAGGTTGTTTCTTGTGCATAACCCAATGCTCTTAAATTTTTTGTTCTTAAAAACTGCTGTGCATGGAGCATGGCCTCTGAGATGTTGCGCTAACGAGTTTCTTTCCTGCCGTCCCAATCGCATGGAGACTGCATAATATCACAGGTGGGCATGACTGACTTCTCTGGACCGCACCACTCGCCACCGAGGCATTATCGAAGCAACCGCTGCGGTTTTGGTGTGGCTTCGGGCTGCAGTATGATGTTCCACTGACTTATGACTGGTCATTGTGTGTAGCAATAATGAACCCATTAGAGACCACACAATAACATAATGTGCATTCAACACACAGTGTGCACAGTGGTGATATCGAAACGTCATTTTAGTTGCGCAGCTACGGGTATCCTACGTATGTGCACAGCACTGCAGCTATGGAAGGTAAACGCTGAAGTGCTCAGTTTAAGCTACATGAGCACGTGAAAAAGAAATCGGGTCTAGCCCACGCTGAAGAGGAGCTCTAAATGAAGTGACCGAACTTGTCACCCGGCAACAGACATGCTTTCTTGCCCCTGTGTTGCCACTGCTGCTGGGTCTAAATAGCAAGACAGACCTGCTGCGAAGGCGGAAACTGTGCTCACATAGCTCCCCAGCCTTTCCAGTACAATGCTTTGCGCTTTCCTCGTAGCTTCCTATATTTTCCTTCCAAATTGGGGAAAAAAAGAAGATGCTCTAGCATGTGCTGCATGCTTCTTTCACGTGCGGCTGGTGCTTGGACCTGTAAAATGGCGACCCCGCAGGCTTCAAGTTCATGCTTCCTATATTTTTGTTTATCTTTGCATAAGTCAAATAACATTCAGCTGAATGTTTTGAATATGTTTGGTAAAATTTACAGAGCATACTGTGTAGAAATATCAATTGCTGTTGTAAAAGAGTACACTGTGTTGCGAGCTTTCTTTTTTTTTAGTGTTTAGGAATTGCAAAGTAATCCGGGCTACTGATTGGTATATCATTAGATATACATTTATTTATCTTTATATAAGTGAAATAACGCTACAGGAGGACGTTTTGTATGTATTTGAGTAACTCCGAGCCTATGCTGACAAAACCTTGACCGCTTTTGTGAGCTTTGTGTGATGTGATTTTGAGAAGTTATTAAGACTAGACGTTTTTGTTATATCATTGCAATATCTACCGATAATTGTAAGTGCAATAAGAGAGAGAGAAAACTTTATTTCCGCATAACGCAGAGCATTCCAAATGGTCGGGCCCCTATTCCAGGGCTCCGCTGGCCCTAGCCATCATCTCTATTCATTGGACCAGCCAGCGCTGATCAACAAGTGGCCGAGCTGGACAGCAGTGCCTCCCATTGTTCCTCTGTGTTGTTCATGTTATGGTGTTCTTCATTATGATGCGTACACTCCCACGTGATGTGAAACAGAGTTGGTGTGGCCCAACACCATGGACATATATCTCTGTATGCTGTGGGGTAGAATACATGTAGCCTGTGTAAGTTCGTGTATGTGTTTGTTTGGATTCTACGTAATGCCACCGATTCCATTGCTGTGAGTTTATTATGGGGTGCTGGATACAGTTTTCTATTGTCCCTGTAATACTGAAGAATTGTACCAAAGTTAGGGTCTAGGGGCGTTGGATCCTCTGTTGCAGTGTACAAGGAAGCTCGGTGATTTGTGAAGCCTCGAGCCGCCTCATCTGCACACTGGTTCCCGGTGACGCCCTCGTGCCCTGGCACACAGATAATGGTTTGGGTGTATTCGATTGGAAAGTCTTTATGAGCTTTAGTTAGAATTTGGAAGGCCTTCATACATATTCTACCTTTTTCGTAATTCCTACATGCAGCCTTCGAATTTGTGATTATTGTCATTGGGGCTTTTCGCTCCCTGCCCTCCTTGATTGCCAGCGCGATCGCTATCTCCTCCGCTTCTGTGATAGAGGCTTGGGCTATGGAGGCACAACTTGTGACGTTTCCTTTTCGGTATGTGACCACGGCCACCATGTTCCTTGCATTTGCCTGATATGGTGCAGCATCAGTAAATCTCGCCGTATTCAAATATTTTGTCTTTTTATCTATGTAAGCGGCTCTTGCTTTACGTCTTCCAGCATGTAAAACTGGGTCCATGTTCTTCGGCACGGGGCACATCTTGTACCAGGCTCTGACTGAGCACGACAATTCCTTAGCTCTTCCATGTGCCTGTACTTGTTCACCTGAGGCCGATCCTCTGAAGAAGTTTTCTGCCGGTTGGTGTCTGTAGCAGGCGGTTAATCTGGGTGGTTACTTACGCTTCAGCCAACTCATCAAATGTATTGTGAAGTCCGAGCGCTAGATAGCTTCGCAGTTGAAGTGCTTTGTGGTAGTCGCAGAGCCGCTTCATACTACATCCTTATTATTTTGTCTGCTTTTTCTTTCTCCTCTCTATGTTGTGGTAGGGTAGCGAGTATGTTAGTCTGCTGATGACTAAGCTCTTTACCAAACGAAGCACGTCTTGTTCTTTCAGTCCAGCACGATTGTTCGATATTCGAACTATCATACGAACAATTTGTTGAGATGTTCATTTAAGCATATTCAGTATGTGGAGACATCGCTGATTGGACTGTAACCACATCCCTAAAATTCGAAGGGTCGTTTTCTCTGGAATAATATTACCGTCTAGCTTTACCTCAAGGCAAGGCTTGGGTCTGTCCTTTGTTTTTTACTCTTGGAGAACCGAATGAGTTCCGATTTGTCTGCTGAGCACTGAAGCCCCCTTTCTTTAGTGTACTCTTTGATGGTTTTAGCTGCCAGTTGAAGCCGCTCTTCTTTTAGGAGCGAAGCTCCTTAAGGCGTGGGCTGTGCGTCCCCTGTATATAGCCACCTCCCGTGGCTACATACAGGGGACTACATACAGTGGCTACATATAGTGGCTAGCATAGTATTACGCTAGCCACCGCCCGATCTAAAGGGTACAGCCATATCCATCCGTCCGTCCGTCCATCCATCCATCCATCCATCCATCCATCCATCCATCCGTCCGCCCGTCCGTCCGTCCATCCATCCGTCCGCCCGTCCGTCCGTCCATCCATCCGTCCGTCCGTCCGTCCGTCCAAAAGATGCAAGATGTTATAAACTAGACGGCGGTACGTGTAGTTGATTATGAAAGATGCGAGGTGTTATAAAATAGGAATGATGCCACATATGGCGCGTGTCATCGTTCGATATAGTGCGGCGACGTACGCTAGGGGGAGCGTTGCAATAAAATCGAGTGGGCAAAATGTACGGAGGATTCATGGTTTACCAGGTTTACCTCCGGAGCTTCGCCCACTCATCATCATTCACTTCGTGGATGTGGCGGCATTTTTTTTCTGCCAAGCTACCCTTGGTTGTCCATATAGTGATGTCATTCACATAGGAGTGTCGGATGTCGGAAATATCTTCGAGTTTTTTGGCTAGACCAATCATGGCTATGTTGAAAAGCATAGGCGAGATCACAGCGCCTCGTGGTGTGCCTTTGCTTGGTGGGCGGAAGACATTGGACTCGTCTTCTCATAATCTGATAACAGCGGTTCTTTTAGTTGGGAAGTTCTGTACATATTTGTACGTCCTTTGACCGCAGTTTGTCGCTGCTAGCCCATCTAGTATAGCCTTATGGCTTACGTTGTCGAAAGCGCCTTTTATGTCGATGGCCATGACAATGTTTTCTCCTGCTTTTGAAATATTTGTTAGTACTTCCTCCTTTAAAAGCAGAAGGATGTCCTGTGTGGAAAGGTCCGAGCAAAAACCAAACATGGTGTTTGGCAACAAGTTATTTTGTTCAAGGTGCCGTTGAAGTCTGGTATTTATTAATCTCTCAAACACATTGCCTAAGCACGAGGTAAGAGAGATTGGCCTGAGGTTTTCTATTGCCAATTTCTTTCCTGGTTTGGGTATCATAATTATTACAGCATGCT